TACTATAGAGGCTCTGTTAGTGGAAGGGGACAGGTGAGCAAGTTGAAGATCCTCTGAAGAATGAGCTACATGTGTGTACAGATGCAGTGACAAAGCTCAACAACACTGCCATTGAACAGGCCGTGAAGTGAAATACATGAAAGTGTACATGTGGATTTCCAGTAATATTCCTAACGTCAACCCCGCATGACACTACACCTGAGGAGTTTCACTTTTTTATGTGCCGCTGACAAAGAAAACTTGCTACTGCATGCTGGCAAGAGATCAAATCAAAGTAAGTCAGACAAAACTTATGTCAAGATATTATGGAAATCAGACCTCGATCTCAATGTTCCCCTTCAACTGGCATGGTCAACTACAACTCACAAACCAACCTCTGCTAAAACTATGAAATCAAGGATACCCAACATGCATGCCCAGACAGTACCCATACTGACAATTATTCTTCCCTACAAGTGCATCCTTCTAATTCCAGATGCCTGGCTGGAACTCGCTGAAGTTAATGCAAGTGGTGTTAAGTCAATGAACTGTGCTGGTGGAAAGTGGTACATGCACCTCTTAATCTGCATAAGACAAGTGATTACCTGTAGAATCATATACAACCGGTCAACCAATAAGCCAGCAATTACATATATGGAAACCGGGAACTCATACAGACTGTTCTTCCCTATTTGTACTCACTGTGTTCAACTACAAGCACAAACCTGATGCCTGTCTTTTGCTGTGTTGTCAACCAGGCAAGTGGCATTGAAGGTCAACTCCCCACTCAAATCAAGAAAATTCAGGATACCCAACATGCCTTCAAGGTAAGTACTTATACTGACTGTTCCTCTACACTTTGTTGTGATCCACAACTGCATCCCTGATGCTGCCCTATACATTCCAGATTACTGACTGGAAACTTGTGGAAGATATCACTTGTATGAGACTGGATTCCTAATCTATAGTGGCTGAGTGCTTGTGTATGGCCAGATTCCAATGAAAGCTGAACTTGTGGAAGGTGTAGTTTCCAGTGTCACTTAATCTGCATAACACAAGAGATCAGATATCATAGAACCGGTCAACCAATAAGCCAGTACTGTAAGTATGGAAACCAGAAACTCATACTGACTGTTCTTCCCTGTTTGTAATGTTCAACTACAAAAGCATCCCTGATGCCTCCCCTTTTTGCTTCGGTGTCAACCTACATGTACATGTAGCACTTGAAGGAACCTACCACCCAAATCTTCGAAATTAAGGATACCCAACTTGGCTACTCAGTGAGTTCTCATTACTGACTTTTCCTCTGCACTCGTTGTGATCATCGATCTACAAATGCATCCCTGATGCGCACCCCACACATTCCAGATATTTGACTGGAAACGTGTGGAAGATATTACTTGTGTGAGATTGGATTTCTAACAGTAGCTGGGTGTTTGTGTCAGGCCAGATTCCAGTGAAAGTTGAACTTGTGGAAAGTGTAGTGGTGTTTGGCCGATTAACTGTTTCAGCAGAAAGAGGTGTCACTTAATCTGCCTAACACAAGAGATAACACATCATAGAACTGGTCAACCAATAAACCAGTAAGTGTGGAAGGAAACCAGCAACTCGTACTGACTGATTTTCCCTATTCGTAGTGTTCAACTTCAAAAGCGTGACGTCCCTCCTGATGCTTGCCTTTTTTGCTAAGGTGTCAACCTGGCAATCAGAGGAACCCACCACCCAACTCGCAGAAATCCAGGATACCCAACATGCCTTCTCATTAGTCAGTAGTCATACTGACAGTTCCGCTACATTTGTCAAGATCATTGATCCACAATGGCATCCCTGATGCCTGCCCCACAAATTCCAGATATCTGACTGGAGACTTGTGAATGATACTACTTGTATGAGACATGGATTTCTAACAGTGGCTGGGTGCTCAAGTGTATGGCTGGATTCCAACAAAAACTGAACTTGTGGAAGGTTCAAGTTGTGTTTGGCCATAAACTTGATCCTACTGTCTGTTCTTCTTCTCCTGTGGTGATAAGGGTCAATGCAAGTCACTTTAGCTGTCAGCATGCCATTAATTATGGATATCTGTACCACTCTATAATAAAACCTACATAAACCTTGAAGGATGACAGTTAATGCAGATGAAGATGACTACCGCACAGGTTGCCGAAATGTCAGTCACTGTCAACAACAACAGTCCTATTCAGGACTACGTTCACCCGGACAATCAAACTCAACCTTCTTTTGAAGAGTCTCTTTATCAACCGCAATTTGTTGTGATACATTAATTTTATTGGGTTTTTTTTTTCAACTTCGTGCAGTTTAACTTTGGAGAATACACTTTATGCCATAAAACATTGATTTGAAGTTAAACATCGACTGTTTGTACTTGATATCATTTTTTCTACCTTATGTTGAAATTAGAAGGAATGAGGTGCCAAGATTACCAGTCTGCCATGACTGTTGTTGTCTTCCTGATGATCATAAAAGTACTATGGATTAGTGGAAAGTGCATGTAATCATTGTGTCTGTAGCTTTCTGCATGACTTTAATACTGTGAAACTCACAAAACGATGAACGCCAGGAATATTAATTTTACAGAATATTATTGTGTTGCGAAGAAAAAGCCAATGAGGCGTGAGAAAACTAAACTGCAAACGGCACGGGTAATAATTAATTTTAGTTTGTGGTTTTGTGGTTTGCTTTCGCGCCCTGAACTTTATTGTGATTGGTCACTACACAATAAATATTCCTGAGAGTTTTCAGGCGTTCATAGTTATCTGAGTTTGACAGTCATTTCCATTCCACTATTTTGTTAGCTGAGAGGTGAAAATCATGACTGTTAGTAACTTTTATCTTTTTGTGTATCTCAAGACTAGAGGGGATTACTGGCCTGCCGTGAGGGAGAGAGTAGTAGAGCAGAAAAAGAGGAGCCACTGTTGTTTTGTCTTCCACCATCTACCATGGATTTGAGGTATGTGACTGTTTTCAAGTTTAAAAAAATCATAAATCATCATTTAAGTGACAAGTAGCTATGGTGACAAATTATGTCGCTGATTTTTATTATAGGTGATTCATTTCCCCCCTCTTTTTTAGCATGGTCTGTGTGGATCCAGGTTGTGAAGTGCTCAAAAAGTTTCTGGCATTATATCTGAGTTACCTGACAATTGTGACAGAGGGAGAAAATCCTGTCAATTTTCCATAGTATAGAATTCTTTGGAGGAAACTTCCTTCTGCATAGCAGCTCCCAGAGAAGGATACAATGATACAATTGGAATTCCTCAAATAGAGCGTTTGATTTGTGCCTTCATTGTTACTAGTAAAGCTGATACAAGGTTCCTTAAATGATTTATTGCAGTTTTCAAGATCCTTGACAGTTTAAGGCATTCTCCGTAGACTGTTCACAGTCCTCTATTTTTCCATAAGATCTTCGAAATCGAGTGCTTTGCGTTATGAACTGACATCTTGGATGAGTGTCAAAACTACTTAAAGACCGGTTCCTACTTAGGGGGCGCTAACCCCAACCCCAACCCCAACCCCAACCTTAACCCCAACCCGAACCCGAACACTGACACTAACGCTAACCCGATCCCGAACCGAACCTGAACCCGAACCCTCAGCTTGTCCCCTCGGTACATTTGAAAATCAAGATAGCCGTGACTGTAAGACACGGTATATCTAAACGATCTCATGAAAAAATAGGCGACTGTGAACAGTCTGCATTCTCCGATGCAAGCAAAAGTGACTAATATAGTGAAGCAGCATCCTTGGAAACCAAAATTAATCTTTAGGGTCCAGATACCTATTGATATTTGTGTCTTTCTTTTGCTCAAGATACCTGATTTTTTTTGTGGTCAATTTCGGTTTGTAACTGGCCTGGGGTTTTCCTCCTAGGGGCAGGTGGACATATGGGGAGATTTTTCACCCATCTGTCGTTCCACAACCCCATTTAATTTGGCATTTACTAAACTATGTGGACTGTCATAATCGATCCAGAATTGGTATAATTTTCATTAATGCTGTTATAACGTTATAAATGACAATTTTATTGTAAGTATGAGTCATATTTTGAGAGTAATAAACTGAAAGTTAGCACTGCTTTGTGGGTGTGTAGTTAAGCATTAGAAATCATATATAGTAAACACGAAAGGGAGTTGATCGAGAAATTATTATTCAAGACATTTCAATTTTTAAGTCATCAGTGTGGAAGCTGCTGGCTGGATATTGATGTAAACTCCTTAGGTAACCTGGCAATCCTATATTGGGCTTATATTAGGTTTTGGTACACAAAAACAGTACTACCGTGGCTGAAGGATTCTTCATGCAACTGAAAGAGGATAGCTTAGGAATGATGATTGATCATGAAATCGAAAATTTTGACCAAAATCATGGACTTTGGAAAAATAATATCCAATTTAGTGACTAAGTAAAATGTATGTTTTCAATGTCTAGGAAGGTTTATTTTTTATCCAGAACATCCCAAAATATCACTTCTGGGTCTATTTTTGCTAAAAAAAAATATACACAAAATGAAAAATTTTGACCAAAAACATGGACTAATTTCTTTGGAAAAATGCAATTTAGTGACTAAGGAAAATTTATTTTTTATGGTCAAGCAAAGTTTCTTTTTTATCTAGAACGACCCCAAACAGCCAAAATTTACTATTCACGTAAATAAAAACTAAATTGAAAACTCTTAACTAATCTTTGGAAAATACCCAATACCCAATTTTTGTAGCAAAATCAGGCATTAACCAATTTGGAGAAATAATACTGAATTTGGCCACCCAGACTATAGGGCAGAAATAAAATCTCTTCTTTCCAGTTGTTCTTACCAGTTAGAGAGAGCTAGAAAAGTATTGTTTGACCATTTTTTGGAAAGATGACGAAACAATTTTCTCAAGATTACGAGTTTGGTTGGTGATTATGTTTCATTTTCCCAAAGGGGTTAGCCTATGATTATAATTCTTTATTGAGACTCTACAGTGTATACAGTACTGTCGGTAATAGACTAAGACAGAGCGAAATGTTAGTTTACACATTTTATTAAATTTTAACAATTGAACAAGGTAAAATTTAAACAACAACGACAATAAAATGTTAACCGTATTATACAACGAGTAATAAGTTGATGTCATGTTCTCTGAATGAAAAATGTTTTGCCTTGGTTATTTAGTTCGATCTCATACAAAGCTTGCTCTGTATATAGTAGGTTACGAAGCTGGGCTCTTCTGACCTGAAATGTTTTATGAGAACAAAAAATAAATTATGAGATATACATGTATACAGTGTGTAAGGTTATTTTATACTAAATGACAGTTCCTTAAACACTCAAAGACCCCCCTCGCCCCCATCCCCCACCCCGCTCCCTTTGAGATAAAAATTAGAAAACAAAATTAACCTCTCTATTTAACTTGGAAATTTCAATAAGTGCCAAGAATTTATTGGAGAATGTACACTGTTCACTGGATTAACACTAATTGGCTAATTGGCTAATTAGCTAACTAATTGGCCTCTGTGCAACCAGGCACAGGGCTTAAAAGCAGCAGCTAGGTTGAATACAGTTTTTTTTCTTCTTTTCTCTGGCTATACCTTATCCTTGATTTGAAAATTGTACAAATGTAATAATCTAATAAAAAAACTTACAGCTGTTAATTCTTTGTTGGCAAGAGACAGCTCCTGTTTTGTGTCCTCAGCCCATTGCTTTAGCAATCGTCTTTCACTATTCTGCAAAATGCAACAAGTAAATTTAAAAATTCATTTTTGCTGCACTTTTCAAAAACAAATGAGTTCTGAAGTTCAAAAGCCAACTAATATTTGCAATCTTTGCTGCTGTCGATCATCTTAGCAGACCTCGCAAAACATAAATTTACTTGGACCACAAGTTCAAAAGGTCACAGTTTGTGATTTGTGTTTGGTGGATTTTGATCCATTTTGAGTGTTTCTGTGTTTCAAGGTTCGTTGCTTGTTGCTTGCAGCAGCAAAAAACATTATTGTAAGCTTGTTGGCTTTTTAATTTCAGAGTTTATGTTTTATTGAAAAGCGCAGTAATTTAATTGGCTCTCCCTGACTCTTCTGTCTCCAGTCACCTCTGAGTCTCCTATTAATATTAACATGAGATCCATGGTCAAAGGAGAGTGAGGGAAACAGGATTTCTCTCTCTTTTCTTTCCCTTCTTCCCATCACCCCTTGCCCTCCCTTTAGTTGTGCTTCTTGCTTTCCATTCCCCATGTGGGTGGGAACCAAAAGAGATGACTGTGGAAATGAGTCAGAATTGGTTACCAATCTTTTTTATTTATATCCACAGTGTGACAAACGCACTCTGACAGTAGACTAGGAAGCACAGGAAAAAATAACAGATTCCCATTTTTGGATATTTTAGGGTATTTAAAAAATACCCACAAAAACCCAAATTTGAAAGAGTGATCAAGACAAGTCCCAATCAGGAAACTTGGTTGCGAATTCCCTCGTTGGGACTTGTCTCACTTTGCCAAATTTGTGATTTTTATGGCTATTCTTTAAATACCCTAAAATATCCAAAAATGGGAATCCGTTATTTTTTCCTGTGAAGCTGATAGGTAATTAACAAAGCTACCCATGCTGTGTGTAACACATTAACTTTTTGTGTACCTGGCCATTTTGGAAATAATATTATTCTGATTTTGGTCGATCATCATATTTTAAATCGCAAAACATTATAAATTGCCCCTTTTTATTGCATTGTTTACATGCACCGTGATTTAGGGTTTTCCTATTAGAACTCACCTGACAGTCGCACATCAGTACATTGTACAAAATGTAATTCCATACAAGAAAGTAAATATAATTTTTGTTTGCTTGACTCCAAAAACCCTCTGCACTGGAACTTCAGGATAAAAATTTTATGCTTTTGACATCATTTAATGCCATTTTTCTAGATTTACAATGTATAGGCAACATAATCACAAACCTCTTCTTGTTTTTCCATCCATTCAGCAATCTGATTTACTCTAATCTCACTAAACAAAAAATGTGAGTCATGAATTATTACACAAAACAGTGGGGTGCCAGGCATTTTGCTATTATCACGTCACAGATAAGCCTAACCTGGATTTGTACTATGATCTGTTTCTTTTGTTTAATGTTAAATTTGGGTGCACTTATTGATAAAAGTATGGACAGAAGGACCCACAAAAACAATCATTTTCTAATTCCAGATTTAGATGGACTAGTACCTACAGTAAAAATAAGTCACATGCACCAGTCTCTAATTTCTTAATAAGTCTCTTACTGCAGTGTCTTCCCATTACTTTTATGAAAAAATATTTACTTGTCTGAGAGCAACAACAGATAATTTAAAGTTTGATACAAGGATTTATATTGAAAGCTTAAGGCTACTTGTAAAAGTATATTATAATTATTACCTCTTGACTTTTGCTTCCTGTTCAGAATTAAGCTCATCATTCTACCACAAAAAGAAAAATTACATGTAAATTTTGATGTTTGTGAAATTACCAATTTATGCCCAATGCCATGCAGATACAGTACATGAAACAACAAGTTACCTTCACTTGTACCCGCCAACCTTTTTACATCTATAGGCGTGACATTTTTTATCTTAAGAGGGCCAAGATTTTTTGTAGGGGTCCAATAATATCCGAAGATGTCCGAAGATGTTCCGAAGACTTCCGAAGAAGTTGTGAAGAGTTCCATCTAACACAAACACAGGAACACAAAGGAACATTGACTTCCCTACTAATAAAAGAGAATTCGGAGAAAGTCGATCATCCACATAGACTTTTCTTTTCTCTCTTTGGTTCTGGTTTGTTTAAATAATTAATATATTTTTCAAAATGTGTCAGTTAATGCTGTAATGGCTCAAACTTTTCTACCAGGTGTGACGACTTGGAACACAGGCGTGAGATCCAAGTTTTCGATCTGCAGGCGTGACAATCAGGCCTTAGGTGTGACACTTGACAGGTACACGTTAAGTGTGAGATTTTAATGTCTCTATACATAGCTTAGACAGGTCAGTGGAAAGTGCAATCTGTATACAGTGGACCGCTATTCTATGTATTAACCATGTGTAGTGTTTTCAGTCTAATCTTTGTAAGTATCGATCAGCATGTAGAACTGCATTTTATTGAATAAGGACGTTTTTCAGGTGAGTGAAAAAAATAAATACCCACCAAAAACTACTGATTTCTGCATTTTGAAATTTGTAAGTTAATGTTAATGCACATTATATTTACACGGTTCACTTTTAAGAATGATCAAAATGAAAAAATGAGAAAGTTAATGCCTACATGCAGTAATATAATTCACCCTATAATTCACTTTAGATTTCCAGTAACTTGGGAGAGAAAATCCCTGGAGAGTGCAGAAAACAGCATTTAAGAGGGTCTAAATAAAAAAATTTTCTTGGGCAGCATGCCCCTAGATCCCCCTAGAGGCTTGCCCCTCCAGCACTGACTGCTTACATTAACAACTCAGCCATCTACTTCAAAACTTTCTGACAACCCTGCTCTGGAGACAATGACGCAGACCCAACCAGGGTCTCTCTCTCTCTCTCTCTCTCACTCCATAGGGATGGGTAGGAGAGAACCCTGGGAATGAGGTTGGTAGGTAGGGAATATGCCAGAAATCCCGGAGTCTGTCTCCCGCACCCCAGAATAAAAAGGACAGTCATTCTAAAACATGTACAAGTATGTTGCAATCACTGCAAAGTGGCTAACCAGGCTAGCAGACCTTTTCATTTACGTTTGCTCCCTTTTGGCATATACAGTGTACAACTGTACATCAGTAGCTAATAATTTTTATTTAGCATGCATATTCTGCTTGTTGCTGTGATAAAGTTAACCAGTGGTTTATCAATAAACCAATGCTTGCACTTGGAAAACCAGTTTGATGAGAGAAAACAAGATTGACTAGTCCAGAAGTTCAGGTATGGTACTGATCTTTGAAGGCCTGACTTCACCACTTGTGTCCAGAGATCATGCATGCAATGGCGAAAATGGCAAAAAGTCGCCAAAGTTTGGCAAAAATGTTATGACAAAGCAAAGCATTGGACATATCTGAACTTCACTCAAGAAGACAAAAGCAGGGTGGACCTGTTGCTAACATATAACTTACAATATTATTGTATAAAACAACCATTGTTCTTTAAAAGATAACCAAGATTTATATGACTTATTCCCAAAGACATATATAATAAACGATTGTTGTTGGATCAATACTATTTTCCTCAAGCCTCAGTACTTCGTACATGTATCATTGTAGTTGTATATTGCCATCCACCCCCTCCACCCCCCCCCCCCCCCCCCCCCCCCCCCCCCCCCCACTCCCCCCCATCCACTCCGATTCTTTTCTCTCTCCCCCCAAATTATATATATTGTATGTAGCTTGATTGGTTCGTTGGGTGTTTTTTGCCAGCTGTTTTTGTGTTATATTTTTTTTTTTTTTTTTTTTAAAAAAAAACCAAGATTTATATGACTTTTTCCCAAAAACATAAAAAAAAAACAGTTTTTTTTGGATCAAAACTTTTTTCCCCACGCCTCAATTCTTCGTACCTTTTTCATTTTAGTTTTATATTGCCCCCCCCCCCCCCCCCCCCCCCCCCCCCCTTCTACACACGCACCTCTTACAGCTACAATCATGGAAAGTTCTATTTCGACCTTCGCAACATTTATATGTACTAGGAATGACCTGACTTGTGCTCGAGGGTTTGTTCCCAACGTAGTCTTTGCAGATATTAATTTTTGTGCCATTGGCTGATTTCACCACTCGGTGAATCGAACATTAATGCCTCTTTAATAATGCAGTGCACAAAAATGCCATTTCTTTGAAAGAATGTAAAATGCTTGGTGAAAACAACATATCATTGTTGCCTGAAGAGAAGATCAGCGTAATCGTTCTGACAAAATTATTAATTGCTCCTAAACAATGGAAACAAATTTCATCGCTTTCTCTGCAGTATAAAGCACACAATGGATTTGATCTTTACGTAATTACCTAACAGAAAGTAAGCAAAATTGATCCAGTTACACTTACCTTGATTCACTCCTCTGTCTTTTTAGCGCTTTCCGTAGATTTTTCGCTCCAGGTCGTTCCACTTCGTACCTATAATTCGTTGCCATCGACATCTTGGTTAAAAAGAGGTTACCGGATTAAAACACAAGGGAAAATTACTTGTGAAAGCTTCACAAATCCTTCGATCGTTGATCACAATGAAGTAGCCTGCGTAGCAGGCGCTTGGAAGTAGTGGGCACAAGAATAAACGGGCGCACGAGAAGAAGTCACCCTTTGCGTGTCTCCCTCGCGCGCGCCCGTTCTCTCTTTCGCCCACTACTTCCAAGCGCCTGCTACGCAGGCTAACAATGAAGCTACAAAAATCACAATGGTTGCCCAGACGACGATCGAATAGTATCCCATGATGCACCTCGTTTCATGTCGTGACAGATCATGACCACTACTCTTCAGCACGCGCGTAATGAACATCGCAGTGCTCGATGTGTATGGTTTCCGAACATGTCTCGGTTCTGCTTTTGAGAATATTGAGTTAGCTGATATTCATTGTGCTTTAAACAAGAATTTCAGCGTTACTTTGAAGGGTTACATACGTTTCACTGATCTGTCGAGAACTACTTGTGCGCTCGGTCGCAACTACAAACACCAAGTATGAGACTCGGCAACTGAAAGGTTCACCAGGACCGAAACCATGACAACTGCAGTTACGAATAAATTTTAACCTATCGATGCGACAAACAATCCTCTGAATCACCCGGTACTGACTCCCACAATCTTCAAGAAAATGTCCCGGCCAGAATACGGATCTGTTCTTTTGAATAAATAAAGTTTCTGATATATATTTTTTTCAATTTCTGAGCAGGCTTGTTTAGCGTTGTGCCGCTTGCATGCTGCGTGGCACCTTTGTCTGGGTTCCTATCACACTGAAACACACGGCAATATTCACCGCTCCTTGTTCTAAAAATAACCACTATGAAAATACAAAGTGATTGCTTCGGAATAAAGTGCTCTCGAAAGCGCCCAACAGATGTAGCCTTCAGCAGGCTTTACACATATAACACATATATTATCACACATGGCGTTGAAATGTGATAAAAGATACGAAATTTCACCCATCTTTGCTCGATAAAAAAGTCTTTAAAATGTGGGTACTTCTGGGTACTTCTTAGCCTGTATAATATTCAGGACTACAATTTGCTGGCGTGAGGTCCACATTTGGAAGACTTCAACATATAATCCAAAAAATCGTGAATATTCATGACCTTGTTGTGGGTCACTGAACACTTTATGATAAGAAGACTAAGTGAAACAATGAAAATAAATGTTTCTATGTGAAAATTTCGCGACTAAGGGCCTGTTTACATGGAGTGGGGGACCCCGGTCAAGTGGGGTAAGTTTCTTTTGTTTTCACGCTCTGTGGGACACAAAACAAAAGAAACTTACCCCACTAGACCGGGGTCCCCCACTCCATTTAAACAGGGTCTAAGCCATTGCAAATCGGAGAAATCATGTCAAATAACAAAATAATACAATTTTCTTACTTTTACTGGAACACAAATGAGAAAAAAGGCGACGAGAAAACGACCTTATTTCACGATGGAATCTGCTATGACTGGAATATTACGTGATGTTTCTGGAAAAATGCATCCTGGGATACTATTCTCGTGGCCGAAACAAAAAAACGTCCTGGTTGTCCTGGTAACGAGAGTATTTTTGTTCGGCCCAGTCTCTGTGGAAAAATGTAACCACAGGCATACCATCCTGGGCAGAAAATGGGCACAGTTGTTCGAAGGCCGATTTTCTCTAACCCGGGGGGTTATTTCCTTTTCTTTTGTTTTGAAGCACTTTCTGAGACAATTTTCTCCGTTTTTTCCGAGTATCCAACTATCAAACTGTATACAAAAAGAATAAAACTAAATCGCACGTATTCTTTTTTTTTGGCCATCTCAGCTTAAGAAGAAACAAAGAGCAAACTGCAGTGCCACATGAGGAAATATAAACGAATTTCTTGAAAGAAATGAAACTTTAACTTGACTTTTCGTATGTTCCAACATAAATCTTCAGAAGTAATTAACCGAAGTAATAAAAGTAAAGAAACTGACTTGGCTTTTTACGCTATCACATCTGAATTCAAATTCATGCACTTGACATGATAAAAATTATACATGACAGACTGATCCTGATGGCAAAGCGATAAAGAAGTAAACAAAATATGGTTAGCCTATTCCAGGCGTTCAGGTAGTACAGAGCGGAGTTCAAATGGTGGGGAGCGAGTTAAATTGTGCGTGGGGAAAACGTGGGTAGACCGGGTTGAACGCCTGGAACAAGCTAAAATATGGTAAGTACGGTAAAATAAAAGATATAAAATATGTATTTCAAAAAAAAATTTTCCTGATATTTTGGATTGAAAGACAAACCTTCCTCGGGGACGAAAAACTGAAAATAATAGAGAGATTTAGAATCATGTTTCTGACGGCGAACGGTAGAGGTTAGTTTGTACCACATGGCCATGTTTTTTCTTATGAAATGTCGTTTACTGTTTATTATACCCACAAAAAAATAGAAATTTCACGCCAGTTTCATCCATGAGAATTATAGTTTTGGACAGTTTTTATCTCAGTGATTAAGACCTATTCTGAAAAATTATTTGCTTGAATTTGACGTTTGCCGTAGACGTGATTCTAAATCTCTTTAATGATAACTAACTGATCGTAGCCTTATGTCACCTACCAATCACGCTGTCAGTTATTTTTATTTTCACCGCCTGTCTGCCATCTCCCTTTCTTTAGTTTCCGTTCCAGGTCTAAAAGAGATCAGCACCACTCATGATCAATGGTTTGTCGATGTGGTCGTGCTGCACTTTAACATATATATTGACCTTATGGTTTGCTTCTCTTTTTCATTTTTAGATTAATGCCGGGGAATTTCAGACCATATTAGTGGAACCCCACTCTACAGGCAGTCGTTTATAACGGACAGTTTTGTTTGTCGCCACGAAAAGCTCATATTTTTTTCTCTAAAAATAACACGCTCAATACGGACACCTGTTAAAACGGACAACGGATACTTTTTTGTGTTCCGAGACAAATTCTCTTATTTCGTCAACCTAGCTTTACTGACACCTTTTATCTGCGTGCTGTTTCTATGACTGAATATCTTACCACTGATGAAAACCCAACAGAAACAGCGAAAAACCTTTTAAATGTTCTGTCTACTGAATAGTCTGTCTAATAGTTATTTGAATAAACTGCGACTTCAACTGCGAGAATTTTCAATTTATTTCTTCATTCCGCCGCGTTTGGTTCAAATATATGAAATTCTTTAAATAGATTAAAAAAATTATTATCGGGCACAGAGATTCGCTCTCTTAGCTCCTTCTCTCTTGAATTCATATATTTATTACCGTAAATCCTCTATTAAGCCCGCCCCCACCCCTACCCCTCTCAAATAAGCCTCATTCTCCACTAAATGATAGACTGTATTATTCAATCACGACTGTAAAATATCGTGTGGACTGATCCGGGATGGTTTTTTTCACCAACTGGAAGTTCGGATTTGTTTTTGATCTTTGGCTGAATGACCTCCAACTTCATGTCCCTGAGATTTTCTACTTTGCATTCTAGTTTTTTTGGAGAACTGATATCATCGTCCGTGCTCAGTAAATGAAATATGCTCCCCCTCTCTAATAAGCCCCCCGTCTCTATTAAGCCTCCCCGTCCCCCACCTCAAATAGGTTTGAAATAAATAAGCCCCCCGGTGGGCTTAATAGAGGATACAGTATTTCATCTTCATCTTTGCCGGTTATATTACCAACCAATTTAATGAGCAGCTTCTAGTTGGCTTGCTGGTAGCTTACTGTTTGGTTTGAGCGATGAACCAGTATCGCGGAAGTCTGGGTTCGAATAGCGACAAGCCTGAATTTTTCACGCTTTCTTCTTGAAACTGCATAAATTGCTACTTTAAAAACTGCAAGGATCTTCCATTTATTTCTTCATTCCACGGTTCTAGTTCAAATATATGAAATTCTTTACACATTAATTTATTATTTCACTTTAGGTTTCGCTGTCAATTCTTTTCATTGTTGTTTTTCCGACCCGTTATTTTTCATTTATCATAATTCAACGGCACAATTTTTTCCCAAGAAGTAATTAACGCCTCTCATAACACAAACACTTTCCAGAATATCAGATGTACGTCTCTCTTCGGCGCAAAAATGACCTGACTTCAATAATGTTAATTCCAACATGAGAGAATGACTTAAGCTTAAAACATCTCGACTGCAATGAGACTAAATTGCCCAATCGTTCAATTAATTCGTCGCTATCCAGAGAGAAACGTGTCGTATTTTTCTCATGGATTTGATATCAATTTGACTTCAGCTTTTCAATAAAAACAGACTAGAGAGAGGATATATATGCGAAATTCTTAAACACCTCGCTGAGGGTTACCGGGAAATGCGTCAACTAAAATTTGTGCAGTTTTCAACAATGGCTCATTAAACTCCTTTTTTAGTTATGTTAGATCTGGCTTTGCCTTTTGCTTTTGAATTCACTTACTCATGACTTTTAAACATTTTCTTCTTCCGCACTTCCTTTTTACTGAATTCTCCCACGTCGTCCTTTATTTGGCTTTCTTTGTCTGGAAGCAGTTGAAAATCCTTTGCCTATTGTCTTTCAGAACGGGTTTAAGTTTAATTATTTGTTTACTCTTTTCCACATACTGCAGATTTCAACGACAAGGATATTCAAGAAATAATTTAGTTTTATTTAGTTGTTGGTCAGTCGCTTTTCAGAGATAAACTCGTATTTAATTCTTGTGACCCTATTGAAGTTAAGGGATATGTGTGTGAAATTCTTAAACAGATTAATGGAGTTACCTGGAGATATGCTAACTAATACTGACGCCGCTTTAATAAAAGCAAAAGGTTGAAGCACTATATTATAACTTGTTCGGCACTATTTGTTTGTTTGTGTTTTGGGCGGATGCAATTGCTGTTGTTTTACGTTTTCTTTTCCTAAAGATAATATTTAGAAAGAGTCTCCTATGTGGTTCTTATTTTGGCATTTTTTCCCACAAGGGGATGTCCTTTCAGCGCATAGTCTTTCAGAGCAGGTACAAGTTTATTGATTATTCTTTTCCACGTACATCTTTTCAACCACAAGATCGTCTTTCAGAACGGGCATAAGTTAATTGAATATTCTTTTCCTCGTACTCCTTTTTAACGGAAACAAAGAGATAGATTTCAATAAATAATTCAGTAAGTATTTGGAAATACGTCCCTTCACTGTCTATTCGTATGCTCTCCGTCAGTGAAGTAGTACTGGTAATACTAACACGGTAAGCGGCCATATCCTCCTCTTTTTTGGGGGCCCTTTTGGGGTTAAGGTAGATCATGAAAAACTCAGGAGGAACCCACTTTCAAAATTACAACCCAAATTCTACTAATCAAATTTCTACTCGGGACTCTAAATTCTCCGGTTAAGAGAGGGAATACGCCAAACTCCTCTAAATTTTAGTGTAGATTTAATCGTAAGAGACAACCGGCTGTTCAAAGAAGTACTCGTACTCAATATTCATTGTTGAATTAATAGCTAATACGCTTCCTGACTTGAACATAACAAATCGGCCCTTTGGATAAAGTTGCATTAACAAAAGAGTTAAAAGGACGTCTTGATCGTATCTATTGCTAAAATACATTAACTCGGCCTATGCTCTATGAATGACTTTAAGACTGACTTGTGGTGTTTTTCAAGTGTTGGTGTGTTGCTATTCATGAGACGTCTCGTCTTTTTTCAAGCATTGAATTGAAAATAAAATATGAGATCTGAAATTTAGAGAAAAATCAAAAAATCAGGTAAGCCGTTTAGATCTAGAAATGGGTGACTTCCATCTAGGCTAATTTTATGAGATTTGTTTTGGTTTTCGTTACAAAATTTCAGGTTCTTGGCTTTTTATTTGTTTACGAAGTTGTTTTGCGAGTCTCATGCTAAAAACATCAATTTCAACCTTGATTCACTGAAATTCACCAAGAATTCCTCTTCCTTTGTTTCATGCATTTTTACTGATGTTAAAGTAGCAACATCCTGTTACAAACAAACGAGGTTATTGTGAGTTATTATACGTCTGTAGTTCTCACAGTTAAGAGGTAGTTTCGCCAGTGTTTCGTATTTTTAATCTAGTTGCTTCAAAGAGTCAGCAAAACCCGAAATTTAAGTAAAAAGTTCCTTTCAATTCAATTACTACTTCATAGGATGTTATTTTGGTCATAGAGTCGAAACTCACCATAATTTACTCTGGGAGTGGATACTTTCCAAGATGCCTAATTTTTGATGTGGGAGAATAAAAGCANCTGTTACAAACAAACGAGGTTATTGTGAGTTATTATACGTCTGTAGTTCTCACAGTTAAGAGGTAGTTTCGCCAGTGTTTCGTATTTTTAATCTAGTTGCTTCAAAGAGTCAGCAAAACCCGAAATTTAAGTAAAAAGTTCCTTTCAATTCAATTACTACTTCATAGGATGTTATTTTGGTCATAGAGTCGAAACTCACCATAATTTACTCTGGGAGTGGATACTTTCCAAGATGCCTAATTTTTGATGTGGGAGAATAAAAGCAGCGAATCGAAATTAATTGAATGTTCCACATATAGACAGCGATCATGCTACATTATCTGCTTTCAGTTAGTTATCACAATTTTTGAACCTGATCGAAACTAACGTGTTACATACGACTGTACATGTTTTTCTAGTTTTACCTTGTTGTCAGTTGTTTAAACCAATTTTGAACACTACTTTTCGAGATATGATGAGTTAGTTACCAAAACGGGCAACGGAAACAACTGAGCCTTGTTCGGCGAAAAATGAGTTCTCTCATATCTCTAAATGGATACTTGAATAGCTTTGACTGAGAAAAAGGCGTATGGGTTCTTTTGGATATTTGACTTACACCAACTTTCTGCAGCTTTTCTGAATATAAACAAAGGGAAGGGCTGCTTGTAATGACTTGAAGGGATATTTGTGCCACATATATCCCTTCAAGTCAGTACAGTGTGAAATTCTTAAAAACCGCAATGGAGTTTACGCCCACTTGAACTGAAGCTGTTTATTGGAAAATGTTCACGATACTTTTGTATTATTATGTATCATAATGTCTATGTGTGTGCCTTTTTTATTTGTTTAAATTTTTCTTTTCCTAAACATTACTTTTAGCAAATTCCGCCCCATTTCCTTATTTCTACTTGTCCTTTTTTGCCCAGAAGAAGTCGGGACTAAGTTAATTAATGATTATTCTTCCACGTGCGTACGGACCGTACCCCTTTCGATTCAAACAAAAAGATTGGTTTCAGTAAATAATTAAGTCCACTTTTGTTTGCCGTTCAGAGGACAACGTGTGTTGTCTATGTTGATACGATCTTAAGGGATATATGAGCCAGCCATATGAATTCTTGAATAACCTCACTAGGGTTACCTGGAAATACACGACAGCGAAAACCAAACTCGTTTATACCAAAATGTCCACGCACTATACCTTTTTGTGTTTCTTATACCCTGCCCATTGTCTCAGTTTCAGAACGGCATCAAGCTAACTGATTATTCTTCTCCACGTACTACTTTTAACCAGAACGAAAAGATTTCAATAAATAATTCAGCCAGATCAGTATTTGGAAATACATATCTTTATAAAGGATCTGACTTGCGTTAATTCGTAAGGTCTGTAGGAGTCAACACGGTAAGTTATCTCTCTGATTTGTTTTAGGGGGGTGCAACTGAGAGTTGCGATTGAAGAAGATCGTGAAAAACTTATAACAAGAAGGAAGTCCTTTGCAAAATTATGAGCTAGAACTCACGTCATATATTATTATAAAAACTAAACTTATTTAGAGCATGGACGTTAACAGTCCGAGAATTTACTCCGGAAAACTCAGAAAGTCTCTTGTTAAGATTGAGTCAGTTGGATTCGATGTAAAAACAAGATCTATTTCACATAAACCGTGATCGTTATGCCTTGTAATAAGCTTAGTGAGGGAGTTTTCAGTCTTAACCCTTTAAACCCTAAGAATGATCAGCATCAAATTTCTCCTTGTAATATTTATGCTTTGTAAAACAGAGTGGTCATGAGAATTACGGACACGATCACACAAGATAAATTTGCTTGATAATTTATCAACTTCTCCCCACCATTTCTGTAGAAAATGAATAGGGGCAACAAATGAGAATTCAAATTTTGATCTTAAGATTTAAAGGGTTAAACATATCTCATAATAATAGGCGTTGTTGCTAAAAGTGCAGGGAAATGCACGAGGGCAACGACTGATTAAAATACCTCAAGAAACATCAACAATAGAATTAGAAATCATGATACATTCCCAAGAGTGAGGAAATTTTCCTTTTTTCCTAAAGATCAGATAAAAAATAAAAACAGCCGCTGAACACCATGTAAAATAAGATTCATTTAAGGTTTGATTGGCTAAGACCGTGGTAGATTTATATTCTAGGGTACTTTCGAAGGCTTCATTCCCTTTCTCCTTGCGTACGAGTTCAGATATCGGTTTCTGCATAAAAAATCTTCACTTTTTGAAATCAAACGTTTCTTTTATACATATTGCGCACTTAAGGTTAAAGATTTTCATTTCTTTCACGAGACTAGCAGTTATTTTGTTTATGCAAAAATATATAAGAGTGGGAAGAATTTCTGCCTTACTATGTCTGTGTGTATCAGCGACATAATGCCAGGGGTAACCCTACAGTGGACAACTCTCCCATCCAGGGGGTGTAGCAGTAATACTTCAAAGTACTTCATGCTACAGAAACCGGAGGCTTAAGCTCCGGCCGGGTGGGACTCCTTGTCTTGTGTGCCCTTTTCTTTTTTAAACTTTGTAGGCAATTACTAAAAAACGAGAAGGGAGGTTTCTTATCAAGTTTAGGACACTTGGTGGAACTGAATGGTTTAGGCTTGATGGAATTTATATAGCAAACTTATTAGCAGGAGCGCAGCCAGAATTTTCTCAAAGCTACGGACACTTTTACCAAATCCGCCGTAACCAGTCTTCTAAGCTCCAAATTGCTTTCATGCGTGTACTTGAATTGATTAATTTCTGTTTTCTTATCAGTATGGTCATGGTCAAGTAATCATTTCTCTTGACTGAAGAGAAATGATTGAAAAGTGTCCCTCTGCATGCTTGTTCTTGAATAAGGAAAATTGTCTATCAAAACATTCTGGTAAATGTAAATCAATCTAAACAAATGAATGCACCATTACTATAAACGCGTTTATTTTCTCTTGAATCTTTTCAGAGAAAATTCTTTCCACGCTGGCTCAGTTTGAAAAGATGAACTCTAAAGTTGTGATTTTTGCTTTGGCAATTTGCCTGTTTGTTACAGCGTCTGGCGGTAAGTCTGTTTTTTTTTTTCTTGATCTATTACACAACACACAAAACAGTGAATTTTAGTAGGTCACAACATAACATGCAAATATTTGTACTAATAACTTAATGTGATTCCACTGTATTGGGGATAAAATTCGTCGGCAATTCCTTTTTTAATCTTGTCAAACGTCACCGGCTTCGAGTTCATTTGACTATTATTCCTCATAAAAACGGCCAGAAACAACAAAGGATATTAATTGTCATTATGTGGCCAAGTTTGGTAATCAACGGAAGATTATTGTAAGGAGTTATAAGGAGTTTTTATTCCAGCCTTGTTTTCATTCTAAAAGGTAACGTGACATAAACTTAATAAAAAATCTATCAAAAATGAGAATAGTCTAGAAATCCTACGACTGACACACAATTTTCGAAAAGTAGAGACACCAATAATGGAAAATTTCAATCAAAAGCAACATTGTATAAAAGTATAAATCTTTACTGAGATATCCTTTGATTTCCCAATTAAAACCATTTAGGTCATTCCGCAAGGCATAATTCTCCCAAGAAAGAGCTTCAGGAAGATGGGGAATTGCATGATGACGTGTGCAAAAAGCTCCTAGAGTCGGCCTCTTATGAGACACATACCCTCATGCAAATCCTTTACGACTCGTCTTGTCAACCAAAAGGATGGGAAGGATTCTTCAATCGAGCCGACGTGAAAAAAATGGTAGAAGATATCTCCAGTCGGCTTCAGGAAGATTCTCAAGTGAAGGGGCTCGAACTGAATCCAAAAATCGGATGGATTTTCAGAGCATTCCATATGGTTCCTCCTGACCAAGTAAAGGCTATAATTATGGGTCAAGATCCAGCCCCACAACCTGGCCTAGCAACGGGGCTCTCATTTAGTCTAGATCCCTCGGTCCATCCCAAAACTGTCCAAAGTGTGCTAAGAGTGATTCTTGAAGCTCGAAACGAAGGGTACTGCGTCAATGCTAGTGTTGGTGTCTTGGAGAACTGGGCTAAACAGGGCGTTCTTCTGCTAAACACAGCGCTGACCTTAGTACAGAAAAAAATTGGCTCGCACATACCAATCTGGAAAAAATTCAGCCGTGAAATAATGAAGTACATCAACGACAATATTAATCCATCCGTTTGGATTCTTTGGGGTAGCAAAGCCAAGGCTCTAGAGAACAAAATCGACAAGAGCAAACATTACATTGTGAAAGGAGGCCATCCATCGCCCAGGGCACCTGCCGAAAAGTTTTTTTGTCAAAATTACTTCTCCTGTGCAAACGAGTGGCTGTGTAAGAAAGGCCGTGGCACGGTGGACTGGAACCTAGTTCCTCTGCCCTGCAAAAAACACGCCAGTCGTTTGTTTGGGTGGAAAAGGTCTGGTTCAGGGTTTTATGAAAAAGATGAATGTGAAATGCAGCCCTGCCCTGCATTCTAATGTATTAAGGTAAACAAGAGGATTGGAATAAAGTACTGTAAAGTATAAAAATAATGTTCATATAGTCTTTTGTGTTTAATACTTTGCTTAGAACATGCAATCACTTTAATACTAGTTTTTAATTAATCATCTTTAGGCAGGAGTAAGCGAAATACTCTTTTATCTGGTGAAGGAATAAGACAGTGTTTCTTCAAATAAAAAGCTATGTTATTTGTGCATGCAGATGAAACACTGTTAAGCTGGTATAAAAAATGAAGTTGCTGGAGACTACACAATTGAGTTAAATGTGGCGACTTGTAAGACAACATCACTTAAATCAACATAGACGTATGAGTGGAAATGGTCGAACAGAACAAACTGTGTCTTCCTGCGAAACAAACACGCATTTGTAAGGTTATTTACATATCTCCAGATGCGACCCAGTTCGTCGGTCACCAGATTTATTAGATAAGGGTTTTTTCTTTGTTTTTTGTTTTCGTTCGTGTTGCGATCCAAAGCAGACAAGTTTCGAAGTGGAGGTTCATCAGAAGTTCGAAGTTCAAAGTTCATCAGACCAATCAGATTTTTCTTCCTAACTATTTGATGGCATCTGTTCATCTTTATCAGAGCCTTTTTTCATATTTTTAGACGGAAAACGTTTTACTACAAGCGTTTAAAAATATATTTGATCAACTATTTTGGTTCAAATTGCTCCTCGAGAGGCTTAGTTAGACTTTGTTCTGCCGGGCTCAATCGACACTTAAGGTCTGCAACAAACCTTCCTTTTTAATGTCGAGTGTTTTTTAGTATCGCGAAAAAATATACACAGCAATGAGAGGCCCTCTTATCAACAAACCTCTACAATGAATTACAAAACCTGTTACAACCCGTAGCTTCATGACTGCTCTTTCTTTTTCTTTAAGATTACATGAGACAAAAAGCACCAGCAGCACCAGGTAAAATAAGAGTCATTGACATCGTTTCGACAGTTGTTGATGATCTGAAGACAGTACAAATCGTTAGTTTATTACTTTTTTAAGAAACATGTATCTTGTGCCGGATAGTTGATGAACTAATATCTCAAAAGTGTAAGACTGACGAGAACGCAGAAACGTAAGTGTTTTTTAAAATTTATCATTTGGTGTCTTTTTAGATTTATCTCAAAATTTAGAGAAATTTCCTACGCTTGATCTCCCACTAAAATATTTTCTGTGCAGTTATCGATTTCTTCATTCAACTTTTTGTGAGTCTTGTCTTTCTGTAAGCAAAGATTTTATGGAAAAGTTTATTGTTTTCTTAACTTATCGTGGATTAAATTTCTATGAGACTAAAAATAACTGTTGTACTTACTCATGATCGATCAGATACACTGTAAATTTGAAAAGATTTTCACCCTGAAGTACCAACTAGCCCTGCAGGCCAAGTCTTTTTTACACACTATAAGTTTCCTGTGGAGCCATTTAATAGGCAATTTGAATCAAAAAGGCCGACTCAAATATCTTTTATAACAGTGAATATATGAAATCTTATATATTTGGACGGTTATGAGCCTTCTTCACGCACTGATTCAATCCTGTCTTTAACCAAGTTACATATCTCTTCTATCATTGGTGCAAGTATGCCTCGCTGATTCGCTCCTGCATTGTACTGATGAAACATCCCAGTTCAATGACCGCCTTACATTTGCCATGCCTAGGTCAGGGCGATGAAACGCGTACTTGGTGACCCATTTGTTTCTTGATTTCCTGATGATGATGTGCCCTAAGAACTGGAGCTGTCGTTCTTGTAACAGCTGCATGAGCGGGACTTGTTTCACCCGGCCTCTCGAGGACTTCTTCTTTCTTGTTACCCAGAAATATTCTACAGCAATTGGTTGGTCAGCTGATGACTTTATCTTCAAGTTTCTTTAATTTGCTAGTGTTCCTGCGTCACATCCGTATAGAAGTATCAGTAGAAAGGTTGTCTCGAACGAGTTGATTTAAGGTCTGTAGAGGTAGTCGCCCAAGACTCTCTAACTTCCAGCGGCGATGTTTCACATAGCCTTCATTTGAGGCCATCCTTTATACAAGGTAAATGAAATCATCAGCGAGCTTGATGTCTTCATTATTTGAGATCGGATTTTTCTTTGTGTTGATGACGAGGACGATCTTTTCGGTCTTAGCATTTTTTTTTCAGCTGGTTATGGGCTTCTTCGAGGGAATTCCCAAGAGTATCAATATTGTCTACAAAGTCTCAGGTCATTAATCACTTCCCTGAGGTATCTGCCAGATCTTCTGGGCGCTCTGGTAAAGTCGTGGTCTCCCTCTCATTGCTTCATTATGAAATCGTTGATAACGATGAGCAAAAAGGGGACCGAGACTTCCCCCCCCGGAAGGAATCTAGTGACCTCAAACTCTTTAGTCAGATGGCTATCAACATATACTGCACTCTTGAAATTGGTATATAGGGCTATCGCGGTATCAACTTATGGTTATCAAAGTTATCAAAGATGAACACTCAACTCACGATTTTTGCTTTGGCAATTTTCCTGTTTGCTACATGTTCTCGTGGTAAGGCCATTGACTTCTTCTACTCTATTAAAGCTAGAAAACGTACGGCGCGGCATAGTGGACTGGAACCTTGTTCCTCCGCCTTGCAAAAACCACGCCAGTCGTTTGTTTGGCCGGAAAAAGTCTGGTTCAGGGTTTACCGAGAAAGAAAGATGTGAAATGCAGCCCTGTCCGGCATTTTAATGTAATGAGATAAATAAGGAGTTTGAAACAAAGTAAAACATCTGTTCACTATTATTTGGATTTGCAGTCACTACTCTTAAGTAAGAAGCAAACGAAATCAGTCTTTTATCGAATTAAGGAACTGACTAAAAGACCTAGGTCACAGTGGGAAATTCAGTTCTTGAAGTAAGGTGGCGGGGGAAGGAAGGTTTGAAAAGAAGCATCTAAGTGCCTTGTCTAAAAGGAGGGGAAGAATTACGGGCTCCTCCCCTAGACCTACTATTACTGTATACAGTATCTTAGCTTCTCAGCACAAGGAAGAGATACATGTGATAAGTAAAGAATGATGATAAATTTTAACATCGGTGAAGAAATGAGAAATGATGTGATCAACATGTCACGAGCACGAGACAAAGAAAAATTCTGAGTCACCAACAGAAATTGAACCTGAGGACGAATAGTTCTAATTTGCTTTTGTATTTTGCAAAAAACACGCCAGTCGTTTGTTTGGGTGGAAAAGGTCTGGTTCAGGGTTTTATGAAAAAGATGAATGTGAAATGCAGCCCTGCCCTGCATTCTAATGTATTAAGGTAAACAAGAGGATTGGAATAAAGTACTGTAAAGTATAAAAATAATGTTCATATAGTGTTTTGTGTTTAATACTTTTCTTAGAACATGCAATCACTTTAATACTAGTTTGTAATTAATGATCTTTAGGCAGGAGTAAGCGAAATACTCTTTTATCTGGTGAGGGAATAAGACAGTGTTTCTTCAAATAAAAAGCTATGTCATTTGTGCATGCAGATGAAATACTGTTAAGCTGGTATAAAAAATGAAGTTGCTGGAGACTACACAATTGAGTTAAATGTGGCGACTTGTAATACAACATCACTTAAATCAACATAAACGTATGAGTGGAAGTGGTCGAACAGAACAAACTGTGTCTTCCTGCGAAACAAACACGCATTTGTAAAGTTATTTACATATCTCCAGATGCGACCCAGTTCGTCGGTCACCAGATTTATTAGATAAGGGTTTTTTCTTTGTTTTTTGTTTTCGTTCGTATTGCGATCCAAAGCAGACATGTTTCGAACTGGAGGTTCATCAGCAGTTCGAAGTTCGAAGTTCATCAGACCAATCTGATTTTTCTTCCTAACTATTTGATGGCATCTGTTCATCTTTATCAGAGCCTTTTTTCATATTTTTAGACGGAAAACGTTTTACTACAAGCGCTTAAAAATATATTTGATCAACTATTTTGGTTCAAATTGCCCCTCGAGAGGCTTAGTTAGACTTTGTTCTGCCGGGTTCAATCGACACTTAAGGTCTGCAACAAACCTTACTTTTTAATGTCGAGTGTTTTTTAGTTGCGAAAAAATATACACAGCAATGAGAGGCCCTCTTATCAACAAACCTCTACAATGAATTACAAAACCTGTTACAACCCGTAGCTTCATGACGGCTCTTTCTTTTTCTTTAAGATTACATGAGACAAAAAGCACCAGCAGCACCAGGTAAAATAAGAGTCATTGACATCGTTTCGACAGTTGTTGATGATCTGAAGACAGTACAAATCGTTAGTTTATTACTTTTTTAAGAAACATGTATCTTGTGCCGGATAGTTGATGAAGTAATATCTCAAAAGTGTAAGACTGACTAGAACGCAGAAACGTAAGTGTTTTTAAAATTTATCATTTGGTGTCTTTTTAGATTTATCTCAAAATTTAGAGAAATTTCCTACGCTTGATCTCCCACTAAAATATTTTCTGTGCAGTTATCGATTTCTTCATTCAACTTTTTGTGAGTCTTGTCTTTCTGTAAGCAAAGATTTTATGGAAAAGTTTATTGTTTTCTTAACTTATCGTGGATTTAATTTCTATGAGACTAAAAATAACTGTTGTACTTATTCATGATCGATCAGATACACTGTAAATTTGAAAGGATTTTCACCCTGAAGTACCAACTAGCCATGCAGGCCAAGTCTTTTTACACACTGTAAGTTTCCTGTGGAGCCATTTAATAGGCAATTTGAATCAAAACGGCCCACTCAAATATCTTTTATAACAGTGAATAATGAAATCTTATATATTTGGACGGTTATGAGCCTTCTTCACGCACTGATTCAATCCTGTCTTTAACCAAGTTACATATCTCTTCTATCACTGGTGCAACTATGCCTCGCTGATTCGCTCCTGCATTGTACTGATGAAACATCCCAGTTCAATGACCGCCTTACATTTGCCATACCTAGGTCAGGGCGATGAAACGCGTACTTGGTGACCCATTTGTTTCTTGATTTCCTGATGATGATGTGGCCTAAGAACTGGAGCTGTCGTTCTTGTAACAGCTGCATGAGCGGGACTTGTTTCACCCGGCCTCTCGAGGACTTCTTCTTTCTTGTTACCCAGAAATATTCTACAGCGATTGGTTGGTCAGCTGATGACTTTATCTTCAAGCTTCTTTAATTTGCTAGTGTTCCTGCGTCACATCCGTATAGAAGTATCAGTAGATAGGTTGTCTCGAACGAGTTGATTTAAGGTCTTTAGAGGCAGTCGCCTAAGACTCTCTAACTTCCAGCGGCGATGTTGGAGGTCATCCCTTATCCAAGGTAAATGAAATCATCAGCGACCTTGATGTCTTCATTATTTGAGATCGGATTTTTCTTTGTGTTGACGACGAGGACGATCTTTTCGGTCTTAGCAGTTTTTTTTCAGCTGGTTATGGGCTTCTTCAAGGGAATTCCCAAGAGTATCAATATTGTCTGCAAAGTCTCAGGTCATTAATCACTTTCCTGAGGTATCTGCCAGATCTTCTGGGCGCTCTGGTAAAGTCGTGGTCTCCCTCTCATTGCTTCATTATGAAATCGTTGATAACGATGAGCAAAAAGGGGACCGAAACCCCCCCCCCCCCCCTCCGGAAGGAGTTTAGTGACCTCAAATTCTTTAGTCAGATGGCTATCAACATATACTGCACTCTTGAAATTGGTATATAGGGCTATCGCGATATCAACTTATGGTTCGGGATTCCGTTTTGTTCGCAATATATCCGTAAAAGATGGAGATTTGGCAGTAATTTATCGATACGAATATGTGACATCTCATATGTTCATAAAGTCCAAATATTTTCAGTCTGTAGTTTCGTAACTGCCTACGTTGCGTACATATCTGGGATGATCCTTCATGTGTTAAATCAGACACTACTGTCTCCATTCTAGCCCACACTGGAACTCGTTCCAACTTGAGGGTCAAAATTTGGATTCAGCACTAAAAAAAAATCTTTTAAAATGACCGTGTCTATGTGTAAACTTCATACGTAGTTAGTTACAAACAAGTAGGGGGTGTTTATCTATACCACAGAAGACCAACCTGTAGTTTCTAAATTGACGTTTATGGTCGAGAAAGGCTATTATTTGAGCAATTTTTCCTCGAAAAGTTTCCCTCGAAAGGAGAACTTGTCCTTGCTAATCATTGGCAAAACTTGGCAAATGTTTTGTTTGACAAGTGTTCTTGCTCAAAACCTGGCGTGGTGTTTTCGACCGAACAAATAGGACACTTTCCCAAGAAGGCTTTCAAAAACGTTTTTTTTGTCTCAACTGTTTTTAGGACGTAAGGAATTCGTTCCTGGATAGCTTGATTGCAAGCACCCAGTTATCAAAGATGAACACTCAACTCACGATTTTTGCTTTGGCAATTTTCCTGTTTGCTACATGTTCTCGTGGTAAGGTCATTGACTTCTTTTACTCTATTAAGGCTAGAAAACGTACATTTTTTTACTAGTTGTTAACTGTTATTACACTGCGCTGGGAATAATAATATTACCCTGATCACCAAAGGCGCTGCTTGCGCAACCGAGCTATGACCTCTTGACTGTTTACTCCATTTATACTCATATATGCTTGTGAGGAAGGTGTGAGTTTTAAGCAGCTGTAGTTCTTAGAGCAGTTTAATAGCTGTTGCTAAGAATGTTTCGTCAATGGTAAAATTGCCTTTCTAGATACGAATACGAGTCATATGTTGGAGTGTGACGTTACATGACGTCAAGAATTCGCTATTTTTAATTGATGGCAGCAAGAAATATAACTTTTATCGAGACAACTAAAGCCAAAATATGTAAAAATATTGTTCTAATGTAACGTTTTACTAGTCTTTCACATTCCATTGCTTTGTAAAAAAAATCCAATCAAATGCACCATCGGTTAAAATATGTCTTTCTAACAATACTTTGATTCTTCTTATCTGAAACTGTTTAGGTTACTCTGCAAGGCATAATTCTACAAAAAGAGAGTTTAAGAAAGGTGAGGAATTACATGATGACAGGTGCAAACGGCTCCTAGAGTCCGCGTCCTATAAAACCTATACTCTCATGCAAATCCTTTACAAATCGTCTTGTCAACCAAAAGGATGGGAAGGATTTTTCAACCGAGCGGACATCAAAAAACTGATAGTAAAGATCTCCAAACGGCTTCAAAAAGATTCTCGAAAGAGGAAGCTTAGACTGAATCCAAAAATCGGATGGATTTTCAGAGCACTCTATATGGTTCCTCCTGACCAAGTGAAGGCTATAATTATGGGACAAGATCCAGCCCCACAACCTGGCCTAGCAACGGGGCTCTCATTTAGTCTAGATCCCTCGATCCATCCCAAAACTGTCCAAAGTGTCCTAAGAGTGATTCTTGAAGCTCGAAACGAAGGGTACTGCGTTAATACTAATGTGGGTGTCTTGGAGAACTGGGCTAAACAGGGCGTTCTTCTGCTAAACACAGCGCTGACCTTAGTACAGAACAAAATTGGCTCGCACATACCAATCTGGAGAAGATTCAGCCGTGAAATGATAAAGTATATAAACGACAATGTTCGTCCATCCGTTTGGATTCTTTGGGGTAGCAAAGCTAAAAGGTTAGAGAACAAAATCAACAAAAGAAAGCATTACATTGTGAAAGGAGGCCATCCATCGCCCAGAGCAGCTGCCAAAAAGTTCTTCTGTCGAAGTTACTTTACCTGTGCTAACGAATGGTTGAATAGAAAAGGTCGCGGCATAGTGGACTGGAACCTTGTTCCTCCGCCTTGCAAAAACCACGCCAGTCGTTTGTTTGGCCGGAAAAAGTCTGGTTCAGGGTTTACCGAGAAAGAAAGATGTGAAATGCAGCCCTGTCCGGCATTTTAATGTAATGAGATAAATAAGGAGTTTGAAACAAAGTAAAACATCTGTTCACTATTATTTGGATTTGCAGTCACTACTCTTAAGTAAGAAGCAAACGAAATCAGTCTTTTATCGAATTAAGGAACTGACTAAAAGACCTAGGTCACAGTGGGAAATTCAGTTCTTGAAGTAAGGTGGCGGGGGAAGGAAGGTTTGAAAAGAAGCATCTAAGTGCCTTGTCTAAAAGGAGGGGAAGAATTACGGGCTCCTCCCCTAGACCTACTATTACTGTATACAGTATCTTAGCTTCTCAGCACAAGGAAGAGATACATGTGATAAGTAAAGAATGATGATAAATTTTAACATCGGTGAAGAAATGAGAAATGATGTGATCAACATGTCACGAGCACGAGACAAAGAAAAATTCTGAGTCACCAACAGAAATTGAACCTGAGGACGAATAGTTCTAATTTGCTTTTGTATTTTTGTACTCTTTCCTTGAACACTGCCGAGTCTTCTTAGGTGAATCCTAGCTAATCCTGGTAACTTAACGGTACAAACAAACTGGAAATGTAATTTAAAAAGACATACATCACAGCTTCATTTCTTATAAATACAAATGAAAGGATATAAATAAGTGTCGTGCATATAAATATCTGGACCTAGAATCTTGGACGAAAGGAAACATACCAATAAAAAGTCACTATGATGGTCCTTACATGTAAATGTGGCGCTTCTTTATATGAAAACATGATATGTTTAAGCGAAAGCGCTCTAACAGAGAAATGTGAGTGTGAAACAGACATTATATTCAAACTGTACATTACACTGGCCATATTTCAACGTTGTCTTTTCTGACTTCTTTATGTCTTTCAACAGCATCAAAAGCCATTACGGCCCCTGATAGTATAGTTCTCTTTGCACTGCTTTTAAAGCGTTTGCTATATTTTGTTCACACCCTCAAATAACAATCTGCATCGCAAGAAGACCGTCGTTTTGATAGGTATAGTGAGCTAACTTGTAATTATTACCTTAGGGGTTTCTTTGAAAGTCTCAGTTTGTTTATACGTGAAAGGTTTGTCCTATAAGAAATTGTCGTTATAATCATATTTTTCTTGGACGTTTTATGGGCTCAATCTGAAAGAAATTAACCCAATCGAACATCTCCATGTTTTATTATTATTTTTTTTTTGCAGAAAAAGGACCTCTTTATAACAGAAAAATATTTATTTGTGACTCCAAAAAGTGTCTGACTATCAAGTTGAAGAAAGTCGGTGCTAAGCAACATTTATCGTAACAAAAAGTGTGTTTGGCGGTATTTCATAGCTAACGGCCATTTTAGAAAGGACCTCTTTATAACAGATAAATATTTATTTGTGACTCCAAAAAGTGTCTGACTATCAAGGTGAAGAAAGTCGGTGCTAAGCAACATTTATAGTAATAAAAAGTGTGTTTGGCGGAATTTCATAGCTAACGGCCATTTTAGAAGCGCGCCACTTAATATTAGCATAATGATTGTGTAATAATTCTCATAAAAATAAGGTGCAAATGAGAGACTGTGATATTGTTACTATCGGATGAACTTTTTTGCGCTTTTACCTGGATAAAAGTGGCAAAGACTGAAATCAAGAGTATATTTGCCAGTAAAGAACATGTAATACAGAAAAATAATGTAACGAATTTTATTCATAGTGGGAAAGGGAAAACGTCATAGTATAACCTCCAAAGCACATCAAAGACAGCCCACTCTTTTACAATACCTAAAGCAACCACATTACCTCCGCCTTTTTTTAAGCATTCACCACATCAATAGGCCCTTTGCAGCTAGCCATTCACGTGTGATACAAATCCGCCATGCTGGAGAGCAAAAGTTTCACTGGGACAAGACAAAAAAAAGGCATACAGTAGTTTAAATGATAATTTCCTTTGTTTGACTTGCCCGGTGCGACTTTTGCTCTTCAGCAAGAAACGTTAATGGCTATCTGAAAAAGACCTATTAATCCTAATAGGGAGGACGAAATACTTGTTGTATAAGTGGCATTACTTAGTCTAGCTGGTGGAGTTAATTTGAAAAACGGTTGATTGTAAAAATGCGTAGGTACACGCCCAGTCCCTACACCTGTAAGCTATTTAATTTGTTATCGCCACGTTGAAAATTGCCCGACTTTTTAATCATTTTCTGAACAGTTAAAATGACGATGAAATAATTACGAATTTCCAATTAAAACATGAACATCTATTAGACCTCCTATCCTCTAATAAGCCCCTTCTTTTTATTACCCCCTAGCTAGTTTAGATAAGTAAAATATATACTTCAATCATAACAGATCAACATGGTATCCCGAAACTGATTAGTTCAGGAAAGAACTATAGCTGGTGTTATTCACCAATTGAAGGAAAGAGTGTGGTAATCACGATTATTAAGCATGCCAACAGATTTATAAAAAGAAAGTATCCGAGGCGTTTCTGCGAAATCATTAACTGAACAAGAGCAGGAATTTCAAACCACGTTTGACAAAGTAAGGTAAGAATGCTTCTTCAATTGTCAACTTGCTCGCACCTTTTTTACTTCCTTAAGATGTGTAACAACTGGATCTTTTTTCGTACCAAGATCTTGTCTGAGTTCCGTTAAGCATATGATATCGATGTAGAAGGAAATTCAAGGCAAAAGAGTTTCTCTTCCCATCGACATATTCAGAGTTGATGCACCAGTTCGGACTCCTAAAAGATCTTGTACGCTGCACCTATAGTATAGAACCATTTTGTTTGACCGAAGATGCCTTTGTTCTTGATATATCAAAGATCGTCTCCATTGTATTCCGGTTCTAGTTCAACTGAAAAGATTGGAAATTGGTTCTCAATTCTAAAACTTATTTTCATTAAAAAGTGTATGCCTTATCAAAATTTGAACACTTGAAGAAGGGATGCAAAATTTACAGAATTAACGATTTTCGCAATGCCTTTCCAAGAATTTTTTAAATTGAAAAGTTCAGCGATTTTTGTTTTTTTTTCAAAACTTCTCTCCCTTTATAATGTGAATTGCAACGAATGCTTAAACTTTTATTACAATACCGGCATCTATACGGAAAAGATTTTTCATTTCAGTTATTTGAATCTCTATTCGCAGGTTTTTTTTTCAGGACGGTTTTCGAAATTTTCCGTTCGTCGAAGAAAAAGCAAAATAGGATCCTCCCTCCAAAAAAGGTTTCTCTTGGCCGTGAAATAATGTAATTTACAGTTATTTATATTGTGAACATAACCCTTTACAATGAAAGATGAAAAAATGTTGAAACGAATATCATATTCTTTTCAACTTCTTTATTATCATTTTCGTTTTCATTTGATGTTAGCTATATTCTTGTCAAAGGTTAGGCTTCCAAGGAATGAAGTCGATTGTGTTTCTTTTGGCAATTTACCTCATGGCCTCCAGTGATGGTAAGCTAATTTTTTTTGTTCGAGTTTTCCATTTCTTTATAGTATGCAAGTAAATTGAAAGTCACTTACCGAAACATCAACGGGGGCATAACAATTTGTTTGTTGAACCTATTATAAAAGATGTTAAGTCTTAACGATGGAAATCTCAGTGGACTAGCAAAGTTGAGCTGTTCATGCTGTCGAGACTACATAGGTGGGCTTGTTGTGCTCTAATTCCTCGCGAATGAGTTGCCGTGATTTGCGAGTAATACTTCAGTAGCGGTTTTTTTCAATGTTACTAGCAATGTCGTTAAGTAATCCAAAGTAATCATTGTAAAGGGAGACTTCTGCTTGTTAAACAGGACACCTACGTCGCAAGAATCCGCCCGCTTCGAAAGAACACTGCGAAAATCTTCTCGAAAATGCAACGTATGAGACGTACACCCTGATGGAGCTGAACTATAACTTATCTTGCTATCCTAAAGGTTGGAAAAACTTCTTTTTCCAAAAAGACGTTATCCAGATGGTTAAAAACATATCTGATCGACTCCAATACGACTCTCAAGTCCAGAAACTTGGAATTAACCCAAAGATTGGATGGGTCTTTAGAGCACTCAACATGGTTCCACTTGATCAAGTGAAGGCCGTAATTATAGGGCAAGACCCAGCTCCACAACCCGGTCTAGCAACCGGGCTAGCGTTCAGTCTTGACGAATCGGTCCACCCCACTAAGGTACCAAGTGTTCAAAGAGTGATCCTTGAGGCGCGGAATGAGGGTTACTGCGTTGATCCAGAAAAAGGCGTTTTAATAAACTGGGCCGAACAAGGAGTTGTCCTGCTCAATACAGCTCTGACCTTGATTCAAGACGAAATAGGCTCGCACATTGACGTATGGGCAAATTTCACACATAATCTCATCGAGTACATCAATGAAAACGCTAGTCCATCCGTATGGATCCTCTGGGGCTCGCACGCTAAACAGCTGGAAGATAAGATCGACCATAGCAAGCATTATGTCCTCAAGGGAGGCCACCCCTCACCCAATGCAGACGGCAAATACTTCTTCTGCCAGAATTATTTTTCCTGTGCAAACGACTGGCTGTGCAGAGAGAATCGTGGCATGATCGATTGGAACCTAGTTTCTCGGCCCTGCCAGAAGCATACCAGTCAGAATTATGTTAGAGTCACCGGTTATCCAGGTTTTACTTATGGGCAGCCTTGTCTAATGAAAGCCTGTCCTGCATTTAAAAAGTGATATTAGAGGGTACGCTAAAATTGTTAGTGCTGCAAACAAGAAGTTTGAGCTATATGTATTATGGGATTAATGTAATAAAAAATGTAAACAGGTGTCAACTAAAGGGAAGTAGGTGAATAAAAGTTATGTGCATGTATTTTTGTTTCGTCGCAATGTTTTTAAATCCTGCTTCAGATATTCACTTTGTTATTGATCGCGTGTCGTTTCCTCCCCTTCCGTTGGTCTTTATAAGGTGATTTGTGTCGACTAGCTTTGCGGGGAAATAGACCAATTTCGGTATATTTAAATTCATACTTAGCTACGAGGCCTGGGGGAATAAAGCAAAAGAAACATATTATTCATTGCTGAGCCGGCTGTATTCGGTTCAATCCCCTCGACCTCGGAGACAAGTAGGAATTTTAATTTTTAATCAAAATTGATCTATTATAAAGTAGCATCGTGGCTATAAGCGATTGGTACATGTCAGCTCCCTATCGTCAAGATGACTGGAGCACATGAATGAGGAATCGAATATACATATATCAAGCAACAGACCCTAACTCCACCGCCCCAGAAGCAAAAGAGGTTTAAACAAATGGCCTCCCTAAGAAAATGTTGTCAAGACGGTAGCGCCACATGAAAATCGAAAAGAAATCCTGACCGTCTGCTCCTATTCATTGGTGAACAAGTGCAAATGATATGCAAATGAGGTTTACCAGGTTGATTGGAAAGCTTCTAATGATCTTTTCTTGATCCTAGCAACTTTGGTTAATAAAAAAAATTTAGTCGTTGGGCTGTATTAAAAACAATTTTTGCTGGAGGGATAAGCTAAGGAATGGAATTAGCCCTACCACCCTCTCAGCCATATTGCATTGCATTTTGGAAATTTTGAGGCACTTTGATGGCTTTTCATTACTGCTGAGTCTTTTTTTCTAGTATGATGAAAAAAAAGAAAGTGACAAAAACCTTTTCTACGTTATTATTGACATAACAAGGCAAGTTTTCCAAGTTCCAAATATATCGTTTTACTAATTATTATTATTATCACTTTTTATTTAAGAAGCGTATGTGATTTTTATCCCTTATGAATTGCTACACGCTAGGCCTACTTTTTACAATGCATTGTATTTAATTTTATATTTTTGTGAAGCGACCTCTACATAATGTAGCTGCAGTAAAACGCGCCACTTTAGGAGTGAACTTCTGTCCCAGAATATATGTCTTGACTAACAGGTTTTTGATAATTATCTAGCGCAGAGCAATAGTGACTTCAGAAAGTGGAGAAACATTTGAGGAGAAGAGATATTGAGGACCCAGATTTTAAACTCTAATGTAGACGATGCCCCTGTCTTAATATGTACAAAAAAGATCTCTGTACTGCAACAGTCACTGCTTAACAATGGGCTGAAGAAGCAGCTGAGAAATCGGTTGAAGTTTTAACAAAAAATAATAGCGAACACCAGGAAGATTGGCCCGTCAAGAAATCTTACGATTTGAGAATAGGGAACGACATTTCAACTGGCATCTCCGACAAATTCCTCACCTCTAGTGAGCTGGAATGCCTATGAAAATGCCCCTCGCCCTACTCCCTGGAACACTGATTTAATTCTAATTTACTTCAAATTATAACTGTCGTCCTCAGTCATCATAGTCGCCTGGCATCTTGACATGTCTTGCAACAAAGTTCCAGCCACACTCTGGTCGTGCAGAGGTTATACTTTACTATTGTTTGACACTGCTTTCTGTTGTATTTGTCTTTGTTGCAAACGGTCTCGGACACCAAATCTGTAAAATCAGACACCCAAAGTTTGATCTTGAATGGCCATTTACGGTTGGTTTTCTTAAGCAATTAACACTGCTTCGGTGATACTTGTTTTATGTGGACCGAGGCAAACGTTAACTAGTGGCTATGAAGGTGGCAAAGCATGGTAAAGACTGAAAGGACTAACACAATTAGTCCAGAAAGAAAGACCAATCCGAGAGAACCTTTGAACGCATGCGCAGTCTAGAGCCCCGGCAAACCATAGAGTTCATTGTGTTGTCAACTTATTCTGAGGAAAAGACGTCTCTTGACTATGCTACATGAGATTGATCCGTACAGTTGTGATCGCATTTCAGACCACTTTAATAATTTCACAAAACAACGTCACAATTTCCCATCACAGATGCGCAATGTTAATTTTCATCGTGACCCGTTATTTTAAAACGTGTCTATGACCATCAACCTAGATCATTCATTTCGGTTAACGAAACGTTGATTTTGTAGACTTGCAAGTAATATATCAAACATGAGACGCAGTGTTTCATCACCAGATGAAACACCGAGAAGAGGGTTGAAAATACGACGCGTAGCGGACTATTTTTGACGAACTTCGAGGTGTTTCATCTGGTGATGAAACACTGTGTCGAATGTTTGATATTTCTTCTCAAACAAAATAGTTTTTGAAGGAGAAATTAAGGATGCAAAAATGAGCAGTTTTTCATCCGATATCCAAACACTCATTAAACATTCATTTCCTTTCAATTTTCTTTATGAATTATTAATGAGTTTGAGAAGAAGTCTTCACCCATTGTATTGTATAATTAAATTTTAGGGTAAAAGGAGGCCAAAATTAGGAAAAAAGTGTTAAGAATCTCTTTATGGATTCTCCAGCAAATGAACTACTAATGGTGCCCATGCAATACAAACCTATTTTGCTGCACTCCTTGATTTTGCACTTTCGAGATAACGCTGGTTTTGATCCTGTGTCACAAGCGCTACTGGTTTTTCCATTTAACTTGTTTACACAAGACACTGTTCGTCTTTGCTTTCCCAGACCACACCCAGCAGAACACTGTTGAGGACAAAAAAAGGGGTCACAATACCACTTCATTCAATTGTAAATGCATTTAGACGTGAATTACTAGTGAAAGAATCTGTACTAATGCACCCTGCTGAAGGTACGGGTGTTATTTCAATAAATATGATGATCCGAGGGGTGCTAAGGTTTGCCTGTTCGAGAGACAAAGGCGTGTCTTTATCAGAACCTGAATACCGACTCTGCAGGAGTTAAAACCACATCTTCTTACTCCACAGACCAATCGAGAGTAAGGTCAATTACAGGATGGTTAGCATAAGATATTCGAACCAGGCGTCCAACAACTCGAATTCCTTGCATTGCCCTACCTCCTGAGATAACGCTGGGACCGGAAAATATTTTAATTTTTAGCATTATATCTTGTTTGTTGAATATGAAGGGCTTTCACTTACACTGCCCCATTCGCCAGTGGTCCAGTAGTAACAAGGCCTTTTAAAGCAGGGTTTTCTTGAAACAGGTCTCTTCCACTGGGCGCATTTCCCTTCGACAGGACAGCGTACTTTTCTTAGGTTATATCCCAAACCACAAAGGCCATGGCACTAAAGTGACAGAAAGTGATTGTAAATAACAACTCATCTCCCTGTTTTATAGAATAATTTTTCCTCTATTCAATAAGTATACACTTGTGGTAAGTACTTCTGTCGGTGTGGCAAAAATGTTATCTTTTCACATAGCAGTTTCACGGCTCAATAAAGGCAACGTCAAATCAAGATGAAGCACTTTCCGCTGATAACTGTGACATGGGTGGAGTGAAGTTTTCCACTAAAGCTTTTCCTGCGGTGTCCACTTTTCGTCGGAAACTAGTCAGAAGCAGAAAAGTTCACATGAACATGCAAAGATCTCCGTAACACCGTACAGAAATCCATGGCCTGTTCCATCAACATATATATAGCATAACAACATTTGGAACGTTTTAAATTACCCCAACCCCCGCCCCGTTAAAAAACCAAAGTACTCAGTGAAAGCAGAAAAGATAATCGGAAGAGAACGAGTTAACATGTCTAAAACAATTATGAACCGCTACGACTAAAAAAAAGGATGGTAGGAATAGAGCAATACCCTACTTGAACCGTTGGAAGATCATTATAAAAATGATTTAGAAAACATTTACTAGCGTTAGTGATCGACAAATCAACCACTTACTTGTGACCACGGATCCGCCAACCACCTAAGGTGACACGCTTTCCTGATGCAATTTTGGACACCTGAAGGTTTGTCGCTGGTGCACAAACGGCTGGGGCTCACACCAATGGTACCATCTGGGGCTTGATGTATGCAGCGAACTGAACGATATTGTAGGCCCGGTCCACAGGTCTTGGAACATGGATTCCATGGCGAAACCGCCCACCTGTAAATATTATACAGAGTTTTCAGTGAAGCCTCGGAACATAAGCCTACCCTAATTTAAAACAAAAGCTGTGGAGTCCGACTGAAAAGACCGATAGACACATGTTTTGGATTAGTTCCCAATTCACACTCCCCTGATACGACATTGAAATCCGCGGGGGGCAGGGGGGAGGAGGTACTGCCATATATGGGCTATATAGGTATGTTCCGCTGTGAAGGGTATGGTTTTCAAGCAGTTTACTCTGTGATAGGGTATATGAATCAGAGAGTTTGGGTCTAAAATAGTGCATCATTTTTCAGGAAACTGATCAGTTGGTTGAAGATTTTATCTAGACTAGGGAAACAGCTACTCTACAATAGGGGGGATTTGGGGAGTTTACTCTAGTATAGGGTAGCAAAATTCAGCTGAACTAGCTCTGGTATGGGGTAAGGGTTCCAGGGTACCAGCGGCACATCTCCACCCCGAAATTCCTAAATTACCTTTTTCGGGAAAGAGTGTAGTGTGGTGAGAATTTTTTTCTAACGAAGGAAAAACGCATCTGAAAATTGGGGGGGTTTGGGGGGGTTAACTTTAATAAGGGGGGCAAAATTCGCGCGAACCGGGCTCGGGGTGGGGGAAGGGGTTCCGGGGCCCCCGCGGCACATCCCCCCCCCGAAATCCCAAATTTCCCCCCCCCCCCCCCCCCGGGGCATTGAGAGCATTAAGACACTTTTAGTGGTTTAACGACTTAAGAGACTTTTTAGAGAACACAATTCTAATGGATTCTACAGAGCAAACTAAGAAACCTTTGCAAAAACATGCCCCAGCTTGCTCTATAAACTTAGCGAATTCTAAAAGCTCACGCGATTTGAGAATTTCCGGAAGACATTAGGCTGATTAGAGTTCGCTATATTATGGCCTATAAATCAGGATTTCCACGAGTTCATTTACAGTAGATCGTTTGATTATTAACTTTTATTTGTACTATATTTCCATAGGAAGTTATCAATTTCACAACATTAAGATTATAACAATTTATGCCTTTCCACTGCGTTTCGTTTAATTTTACAGATATTTCATCATAGTAGCTTCTAAGACTGAATATGCCTACTTGCTTCTTAATCTTTGTATAGTATGCTAAGCTATTTTGCAGACACTTTCGAGAGAAGCGAAGACTTAATCTGATCTGGCGTCGTCAGAATTCAAGTTCATAATTTTTGGGCAGTGGTTCCCTTTTGAAGGGAAAAAAATATCTCCTTGTTCCCAATGCGTGGTCAAAGTGGAGAAAAAAATTTTACAACTTTACCCGGACTTCAGCCCAACCTAGAAATGATGAAAAAGTGCAATAATATTTGAGAACTAAGGACTGGCATTCTTATGAGATGTGTTAGATGTCACTTTTGCTGATATGTACATTTTCAGTCTTTGTTACACAAAACAACCGATTGGAAAATAGTTGTTTTGAAAGTACCCGCTATAGTAGCCATAAGCTAATGCATTTCCCAAAGAACTTGTGTATGCTGCAAGTTCTACGAGATAAATCCGGTGAAGTATTTGAACACTAACACTAGTCTACCCGGCGGTATTCCTTTTCTGACACCTGTTGAATGTAGTAGTTTTCCTGCGTACATTTGTATCCTTTCTTCTACAAAACAGCCGAGATAGTTCACGTCTAAAGTCCTTGTTGTAGTAACTATAAATTAATGGATTTCCCAGTGAGCTTGTATATGTTGCAAGTCCTACAAGTTCATTAGCGATTAATATGACTTCAAAGGAGGCATTGTTCAGAATACCAAAACATCTCAACATGGCAAAAACAACGGCGGGGCCAACTGATAAAACATATCCAGATACGGTGACAATGAGCATACGAACTGTTTTGCATTTTGATCTCGCAGCGACTTTGTGCATAATTCCATTGTTGCGTCTTCTACGCAAAGACACAACTATTTTTGAGTACAATAATCCCACAGCAGCTACAGGAAAGGCAAATGCCAACAGAAAATATAAGATGACTGAAAGTTGACCTATCAAATTTTGTGGAATATCACACAGTTTCCTGACTGTACAATTGGTACACCGCATACCCTGAGTTTCTGGGAATTTTGAGTCGGAAATGCTCTCAGCGCTTATAACATAGGGAATTGATATGATTGAAGCATACAGCCAAACTAATGAAACCTGGGAAAACGTCTTCTTCTTTGACTTGAAACTACCGAGAGGGTGTACTATGTGCTGGTACCTATCGATAGCTATGGCAACCAGGCTAACCAGTATAGCAGAGCCGCAGGTCTCGGATATGAAAGAAATTAACTTGCAATGGATGCTGCTCACTGCCGATGTTTGAACTGCAATATAGATAACGACGGGAAAGATAAGTAACCTGTAAACCAGTTCGGTCACGGAGAGATGCAAAATGAAAAGATTTGACTTATTTCCTCGGTATCGGTTTTTACGAAGCATAACGAAGCAGATGGCTAAGTTTACGATGATCCCCAAAACAATGAGCAGGACGTTTATGGGAAGAAAAATCGAGAACCAGGACCTTTCTTCTGTGTCATAACGTATCATAGTGACTACCAGGCGAGGGTGCTTGTCACTTTCGGATGTAACAATTGAGTTATTACACTTCAACGACATAGCTGAGATCGAGACAAAGATGAAAAGATCCACTCTACTGGGTTCAAAACGCAACTTTTCTGGCTTTCTCTCTCGTTTTTTTT